TGCGATGCCCACCGACGGGTGGCTGTAGCGGCACCGTCTCCAACACCGCCATGTGCTGGATGACCAGGTGTGTGTTTCGGCAGCCGGTTTGAGCGCCCGCGATCCTACAAGGGGCATTCGGACGATACGGCTGCCTCCGGAGCCAACGCTTGTCAAATCATTGCCTGTTCGTGTTCGCAGAGTCGTCCTCGTCCTCGCGGCGGCCCTTTGCGCGCCCGTGCGCGGGCACATCTCGTCCGCGGACGTGTCGGACTCGGTGCAGCACGCGCCCGAGGTGCCCTTGCCGGCGTCGCCGTGCCCGCGGGTGTTCCAGTACGAGCCCAGCCCCTCGGGGGCCACGGGCTGGGCCGGGGTGGTCCGCCTGCAGACGCCCTCTCGGTGAGTGAGCTAACTAGAGAAACGATTTCCCTTTAACTGAGTGGTAAGTATATGACATTCTGAGCTTAGAGCGATTTTTTTTCGAATGATTCATATTCGACCCTTCAGTGACTCTTTTAAAGTGCTTACTTTGCATTACCTCTAGGTGTCTTAAAGTTATGGCGACTTTTGTTTTACGTTTTCGTCCAGGTTCTCGTCACTGAGGCTCAGCGTGCACCTCGCCTCCCCGGAGCATGTCCCCGCCGACCCCGCCCCCGGGACGCTGACCCTGCGCGGAGGGGTGGCCCAGGCGCGCGCGCTGGTTCGCGCCGTACACCGGGGCCACCGCACGACGGTCGAGTTCGTGGCGGATTTCTCACCCGCCGTCACCTTGGTCCCCGCCCTGCTCAACGTGACGGTCAACGGGCGCCTCTTCTGTGCCTCGCAGGGTAAGGTGAACGCACGGGAGGGATAGGATAACGTGGCTAAAAGACAAAGAGGCTGCGAAGAACTCGAACGATCTTCGTTTAACTTTTTGAGGAACTTCAACCAATATATTGAAGTTTGAGAACTGCAGTGATGAATTTCCTGAACTTCAGCCACGAATTTTATAGAATTCGGAGTTAAACGTGAACTTTGGTGTGTTTCTTATAATTTATTTGTAGCCTACACATCCCCGTAAACCGCGTAAACCAGATCCTCGCTCAGCTCGGAGGACAGAGAGAGAGAGCGGTGCAGTAACCCCCCGGTCTCTATTACAGAACCCGCGGGCACGAGGAGCACCATCACTCTCGTGTCGGACCTGGACACGGGTCTTGACTCGGTGAGGGCATCGGACGAGGACTTCAGCATCGCGCCCGAGCGGGACGTGGTCGCGGTGGACCGACCTGGACAGGACGCCGCTCAGGACGCCGCCCCGACCCGGGCTTGGACCTTAGCCCCGGCCTCGTCCCTACCGCCGGCCACCGCGGCGCCCGAACACCTGTAAGCCATTGCTCTGGCCCGGCCGATCTCGGGTCTGTTTGTGACCGGACCCTGGTTTCAGGTTCATCCCCCAAGACGCGTTCCGGCCGGACTCGTTCGTGCTGCCCTCCGTCGACCACTCTCCGACCACCGCAACGGCACCCCCGTACTCCCCGCTACCTGCCGAGGAGGCCTCGGCAGCGGGGGTGACGTGGCCTCAGCCGGAGAGGCACGCGCCGGAGGGATCGCCAGCCATACACACCCTTCCCCCCGACAACCCTCCCCCTCACACCCCTACCCCTGACACCTCTGTCCCCCACACCCCATCGCGGACATCGCCAGAAGCTACTGACACCTACCGCTCGCCCCTGCTCCATCGTACTCACCAAGACGGTAGGGTCGCCCATTGCAGCAGCCCCTGTACCTTCCCGAAGGCCACCCTAGTGACCCACCTTACCTCCCCACAGAGTGCGGGCGCGCGTGGAGCGGCGCCAACCCCCTGGTGACGCGGGGCGCGGCCGCGGTGCGGGGCCGCTGGCCCTGGCTCGTCGCCCTCTTCAAGAAGCTGGGCAGGCGCGACCAGGTTGGGCTCAACTTCGAGTGTGGCGCCAGCCTCGTGTCCGAGAGGCACGTCATCACGGGTGAGCATACGGACGTCACGAATGCCGCTGATCGCCATGTCGGAGTCGGAGCCGTGTCGGTCGGCCCGAGCCCAACAGGGGGTCCTCATTTACGACCTCGATAAAGCCAGCGTACCGGTTGCCCCGACCCGCTCGATTTTGTCCGCGTTCGTTGCGGGCTGGTGCGTTCCGCGCAACTCACTCGGTTTTACGCCGAATGACGCACCGACGGACGCCC